GGGCAGCGGCATCACTGAGAAGGCAAAGTGTGAGTGGCCCCTTCTGGAGGATGAGTTGGGGCTACCAGGAGGAGATCAAGCAGTTGTCCAGGTGGTCAAGGTGAGGCCTGGCCTGGGTGGGGTGTGTGTTTGTGTGCAAGCTGGGAGGTGGAGAATTAGGAGGAATCATAGCATCATTTAGGAGGTAGGATAGACCTTGGGCCTTTCCATCATGTAATGGGGGCTAATGGGAGAGCTCCCAGTGGACCCTCCCTCATACTCCAGTCATTTCCTGTTTGCATCCAGTCTCCCTGGGCTTCTGGAAGTGACCTCTTGGGAATAACTCCAGCTGGGTGGAGGAGGAGATACAACTCTAGCTTCAGAAGGCCTGGGATGGCCTCAGCATCTCAGGACATGTCCACCCTGCAGAAAAAATATCTGGACAGTCCATACAAGGGCCAGAATTGGAGCGGCCAGCAGTCAGCCCCAGGAGGCCACTTAGTCAAAGATTGCTGGGACTGTGCTGGACCCCACCCTGCCTTGTTGGAATAAGAAGGGTTAGAGCCATGGTCAGCAACCTGACTGTGAGCAAACCCATCGCTTGCCAGGACTGAGACCCATGCTAGGATCTCGTCTCCTTGTGCCTTAGTTTCTTTATCTATAAAATGGGAATTGAACGTGTGTCAGGAATCCACTACCTAGTGGGAGAGCTTAGGGGAACTAAACAGGCTTTACCAAAGATCCACAGCTCTGCACAGACTCTGGGTGGAAGAAGTCAGCCCAGGCAGTCACCTTGCAGGACGCTCAGTCCTTAACGGTAGCAGAAGCCCCCTGAGGTGGCTCCTCTAATGAGGTGGTCAGCGTTCCAGAGAATCAACTGACCCCAGCTCATATGTGTGGTATAGGATTGAGGCCCAAGTTTGGGAGTGTTAGTGGGGTTCAGTAAGGCACCGACCAAAAAGCCTGTTGAGAGGACAAATATCTACTGTCCTGGGCACACAGGAGCTCCTTCATTGCTCTCCTACCAGGAGCCTTTCTTTCCTCTGGGGTCACACCAGCTCCTCTCTCTGTGACCTTTGTCCTGGCTCAGCCCTGTAAGGGGCTAATTCCCCAAGGCCTCCCACACTAGCTGCCCAAGCTTGGGTGTGCTAATGATTTAAGCCCCTCCCATCCGGCCTCATTGTTCTTCATTATTGACTAGCCTTCCTGATTTAGCCTCTTCCCAGAGTCCCTTGGGGTGAATAGGGGGGTCTCCACCACTCAGGCACCTGCCCAGAGAGGGAAGGTCAGTGCTCAGGCAGGCTGGCAATCTGATGCTTTCTTGATGTCCTGGGGGTCGGAAGAACCCATGGACTGGGGACCAGGAAACCCTAGGGCAGCCTGGAGTGGTAAACAAGATTACAGAGTTTAGGAGTCCTGGGTTTGAACAACACGAGCGATTCACTAGTCTTGGGTCCTTCTAAGCCTTGTTATCCCATCTGAGTAATGGGGTGCTCCTGCCTGTTTGAGGAGTCAGTGACTGATGTGTCTAGAGCCAGATACATAGGAGGGAATTTCAAAAAGTTTACAGGAAAACTCCATTGTCTTTCAATTCCATTTTCCACAAACTTTTTGAAGCTCTCAAGAAGTATATGCTCAGTAAATAGGGCCCCACTTGGCCTCTTTGGCCTAATTTCTTCACCTATAAGTGACTTCTTCTTTTCTTTCAGGGACCCAAGAGGCTCAGTCAGCATGGCCCAGGATATTATAGCCCTCAAGCAAGATGGAAGGAATCTAGGTTCTGGCAACTTTCCCCACCCTGAGCAAGATGACCCTGATTTTTCCAATGGGGAAACTGACACTTATGAGGGACCAGGTCATTGTCCAGGGCTTGATGAGTTAGCTAAGTGGGCTATAGGGCCAGGAGGAAGCCCCTGGTTTGGCTCTCCCCCTTGAGAGGGGGGTAGCACCAGTCTCCCGTGCTCCCTGCACACAGATGCAGCCTCCAGAAGCTGCCTCACAGTGTGAGTTCTAGGGTAGGACACACCAGCTATGTGACCTTGGGTGAGTCAACCACTCTGAGCTTCAGTCTTCTCATCTCTAACATGAAGGACAATGGCGAGGATGAATGGCAGACCCATAATGGGTACAGAGCTGGGGTGTTTATGATTATCCTCTGTTACTAGGGGAGGCATCATCATGTACCCATCTGGAAGGGCCAGGATTTCAGCCCACTGACAGCTTTCAGCCCAAAATAGCCCTCCGCTCTAGGATGACCCTATCCTGTTACAGCTGCGCTGCCGTCCCCAGCTCTCTGTTGCCAGCTGAGCTGACTTCACCTTAGTTGCCGCTCCTGCCTTGCCACACATGGTTCCTGAAGTGCTCAGGAAGCAGGCCTGTCTACAGATAAATGAAGGGGCCACCAGGAGGCAGCTCTGACACAGTGGTAAACCTCTGGACTTTATCACTAGCAGGAGCAACCTGGGTTGGAATCGTTGTACTTGCTGATCTTGGTTGGCTGGTTGACTTCTCTGAGCCTCAGTCTCCTCATCTGGAAAATGGGGCTAACAGCAACGTACCAGGTTCATTGTGAGAATTCAAGTAGACAACATGCATCAAGTACCTGGCCCAGAGCCTGGCAGGAAGCATTTTCTCGATAAATGGTTCTGTTTGCTGTAACTAGAGCACTTTCACGAAGTCCCATCCATCTGCCCCCTTGCTGGAATCCCCAGTGCCTCTGGGTCAGGGGTCCTTGTTGGGAGGAAACTGAAGCTATTGAGCTGCTATCACCTCCTCCACTCAAGGATTTCTAAAGCAACAGCTCATTCCAGAGCACATCTCCCTCAGTCTGAGCCTGGCTCTCTCTTACTGTTCATTGGAGCCCTGAGATAAGCACGCAGGGCAGAGCTGTGTCTGCCCATTTGGCAGATGAGAAAGCTGAGGCTGACAGAGGAGAAGGGACTTGGTCCAGGCCACACAGTGACAAAGGGAGCTGGGATGTGGCTTGGGCCATGGGGAAGGACAAAGATGCCAAATGCTGAGTCAGATTTAGACTCATAGATGGTCAGTGCTGGAACATTTGGGGGCATTGTCCCTCCAAGTCCAGAGCCCCATCTAGGACCTACAAGTATATTTGTTGAACCAGTGGATGAAGAACCGGGTCTCACTGAGGTCACAGTTTCTCTGGCCCAGGGTAATCCCTTTAGCTTTGCCCTCCCCTCCCTGCAAAGGAAGTGGGAGACCCGGTCTAGAAAAGCCAGACCCCTCTCCAGCTGGGTTTGGGACCACTCCCAGGCAGCCTGGCTTCCACTCCAATTCCTTCCTGCCCCCTCCCTGAGGCCCCTCTTCTGTTCTCTTGCCTTTTCCTTTTGGAAAAAGCCTGACCAGCTTCCAGATCAGCTGGGAGCCAAAACGCCAGCAGTAGGCAACAAGGAGCCGATTGTACTCCGGGTCTTTCTGATCAGAGTGGAGGTAGTTTCACAGTACCTCACCTTGCCCTGCCCTAGCACTGCTGCTAACAAACCTGAAGGACAGCAAACCGGGGCTGTGTTTTCCTCAGACAGACCCCGCTGGGTGGCCTCATTCCAGGGAGGGAGATGGAGGTCCTGAGGGACTTGGAGCCTTGTTGGTGTGCAGCAGTGGTTTGCTCCCCTGAGACTATGAAGCAGCATCCAGGCATGGAGGTGGGCCCAGACTATCTACCCAGCCTCCCCTAGGACCTCATCATGTTGGATGGTTTGTTTATCTCCCCCTCTAGGCTGGGAGCTAATCCAGGGCCAGAACCTGCCTCTTACTCTCATCTCCTCCCTCCCTCCTTCCTTTCCCCTCCTCTCCTTCCATTCACTAAGCACCAGCTATTTCTTAGGATTGTCTTCTCATTCCTGCACTGAACCCTGACATGAGCTTGGTCACTGTCCCTTGTCTGATTGTCCAAAGGCACCAGGTCCACAAGCTGGGCCTTGCTGAGCTCCCCGCAGGGTTGCAGCTCCAAACGTGGCAAAGGGCCCCCCTCCCTAGAGAAAGCCGATCTTCTGCAGGGGGAGGAAACATGGCCTTGAATCTGTGCCCAGTGGCCAGGCCTGGCTGGGACCAGGGAGTACAGAGAAGCAAACATTCTGCTTTCTTAGAGGGGACATGGTCCTAGAAGGTCTTGGGTCTCCCAGAGGCTGATCCAGGTCTGGCAGAGGACACCCCTCAACTGACCATATGCTTTGAGGCTGTGGGGTCCTCTCCCCATTGAGCCCTAAAACCTGCCCACCCCCACACACCCACCCCTCCCCACCACACTCCTGCTTCCTTCTTTGCTCGTCACCCAGAGACAGTCCAAGTGTGCCAGGCATCTGAGCTAAAGGTGCGGCCAGCCTGGCTAGGCTGAGCTGGCAGGGAGGGGAGCTTTATTACCTGCATCCCTGGAGCCCCAAGTCTGCAGTAATGACCACGGCCAAACCATTCCAAGTCTTACCCATCCCTTCCCCAGCCTCTGCATAGACACTGTCCCAAGCAACTTTTCCCCAACAACCTCCCTAGGGCTTGCAGTTAAGGGGAAGAAGACTGTGGTAGGGGCAGCTTCCCTAGCAGCCGCCTCTGGGGCCTGGAGAGCGGGGAGTGCCTTTAATTACAGGGTACATTCTTGTTGCTGGTTCCATCTATATTTATCTGCAGGATCTCACTAATTAAATTCTCCACAGCACAGGGCAAGCCTGGGGGGCAGCAAGCGAGGCAGGCAAAGCTGAGGGGCGGCAAACTTCCTTCCTTTCCTGCTCCAAGAGTGAAACAGAAGCAGCTAGAACTCTTCTTTCTCTTCCTCTGCACCCCTAACAAATGCCCACAATCTGAGGGGCTACCAAACCCAGCTCTGGGGCCCTTCAGCCCTGTGCCCCTCAGCCCACCTCGGGGTCCCGAGACCAGACAGTGCCCAGCTGTCTGACCACCTCCCCCTCCAACTTGCATTTCTGCAGCAAACAAGGAGAAAAGTCTGTCTGAGCCACCACTGCGCGTGGCTGAAATCCCCAACTCTGCCACTTTGCCGGCATCCTGCTTACCGTAGGAGTCGTCTTGGTCCAGGAGGGAGTCGGGCTCCATGACGTCCGGGCCCCCAGCCCCTGGCCCCACCTGATTTATGAACCGAGGCTGTCTCCATGAGCGTCTGGGTTTCTCCTTTTGTATTCCATCTGGCGGCTTTTTCAACTAGATGACTGGGTATTCCAGAAAACAGGCCCCTTTCCAGCCCTCGCCTTCATACAGTACATTTAAAGTAGCAGTAACCCCTTTTTCCTCCCCCTGCAGCCTGGCTGGAAACATTAGAAGGGACCGAGGCAGCGAGATGTCTAAAATAGGAAGACGCAGGGGACGGCTGGCCTGGCTGCCCGTGATGCTGGCTGCCAGGGTCTGGCTGGGCTGTGCAGATGGAAAAGCGAAGAGGTAAGGCTGATACAGGGCTGAGAATCAGGAAGCTGGCTTGGGGGCCGGAGACCGGGCGGGCGTCTGTGTGAGAGGAGGAAACAGACCCATTTGTGGGAGGGGGTGGGGGGTCGGCTATATTCACCACCTAGCACCCAAACCCCAGGGGCTTCTCCGAGGCCCTGCCGGAACCTCCCACTCAAATCTGTTCTACAGACATTTCCTGCAGTGTGGGGGATGCAGAAATTGACTCATCCATCCATTCAGTTAGTCACTAGATAATTTTTGAGCATCTCGTCCAGACCGGCCGCCTTACCAGGTGCTGGGCTTGCAGAAGGGAGTGAGGCCCACTGTCTGGGCTCTCAGGGCTCACAGGCCATGGCATGAAGTGTGGGGAGCGTGGAAAGGGGGTGCCTCACCTGGATGGGGGAGTGGTCAGGGAAGGCTCCCTGGAGGACTGACACCTAAGGATGAGTAGAAGGGCAGAAGGAAGGAGCAACAGGGAAGTGTGTGTCAGGTGGAGGGAAGGGCCATGAGTTAAGAAGGTGCATGGGATGGTCAGTGAATCCCAAATAAGTTCCAGATGGTGGATGAGGATGTGGTGAGGAATGCTGAGACGGGGTGGAAGGAAGAGCCATGCAGGGTGGAGCTGGTCCCAGGCCTTATCTTGAGGGTCTTCTATGGAGGTGATAGGATCCGAGCCGCCCTGTGGAAAGGCCTCTTTGGCTAAGGTGTAAGACAGTGGGTAATGAGGCAGGACTGATTTGGAGTTGGGGGAGTGGCCTCAATGGGAACAGATACAATACCACTAAACAAGCTCCCACCCGAGATCACCACTCTTTTGAGCTTTTATCTGCATGGCTTCATCTCGTATAATCCTGATTCTTTGGTTATTCTATTTTACAGATGAAGACAGTGCAGCTTCAACAGGTAAAGTGACTTGTCCAAGGTCACTGCTTGTGAATAACCCCTGGATCAACAAGTCTAACCCCAGAAAGTCACAGCCTGAAGGGTGGGTGGCATAAAGATCCACTCATTAAATCTGTGTGAGACCTAGAATACAGGGCAGTGTGATGGACTTGCAGGAAGGGGAGAGCTTTGTTTGAGCTTCAATCCGGGAAGGCTGCCTGTGGGAGGAGGCATCTAAAGTGGGCAGATAGAGAAACAGGATTTGGATGGTGAGGATACCCAAGGCACAGGGAATGGTATAAGCTAAGTTACATGTGCTGGGGAATGACAAGTGACTGGGAGAGTTGGTGACAGGCAGAAGGGCCAGGTGAGCCAGGCTGGGTGTGTGGGCTTGCCCCCGGGGGCGGCAGGCAGCCCCCAAAGCATTTGTTCCAGAGACTGGTCTCCTTTCCTTAATGCCCCCACAGCATTGCTGGGAACATTAAACACTGATCCTGCTAACTGGCTGTTTGGAGATGGTTCTGGCATCTGGGAGGAGGGAACTCAAGGGGAGGAGGAGGGCAAGTAGGGAAGCTGGCAGGAGGATCCAGGCCATGGGATGATCTTTTTGTCACCCTTCACCCTTCCTTTCCTCTCCACCCAATCTCCCATTACCTTAATGACAGGGAGCCAGGTCCTACCCAGGACAGCTGTGGCACCAGGCTCCCTGGCTCTCTTAACTAGTGTGTACAATGGGGGGAGGAAGAGCATGATGGGGATGAAAAAGGGGACACCTAGGAGTCCTTGGCCACCAGATGAGTTCTAGTCCAGTTCTTCTTGCCACGCTCCAACTGGAGGCCCAACTTTACATGTAGCCTTTCTAGCTATAGTGTGATGGTTTAGAGTGGTGGATTGAAGTTGAGTACCTGGCTTTATATCCAGGCTCTGCAGCTTAGTAACTGGGCAAGTTACTCATCTTTGCAAGGGTAATGCTCATCCTATGCAAGCTTTTATCATCACAAAAGCCAAGTAAGGGAGGCAGGGGAGAGAATGGGCCCATTTTCAGTTGGGAAAGTTGAGGCTCTGGGAGACAGAAACTTGACATGAAAGTGTCACAGTGAGGGAGGCTCACTATGCACCCCTCACTCACCTATGCTCCCAGTAAGCACAGGAGGCAGGTATTTGTTGGAGGAGGACCTGGGCTCTGGTATGACTGTACCTCCAATCAAGGTGTGATCCTGGACAAGGCTCTTCCTTCTTTGGGCCTCTCTTTCTTCATCAGTCACCGTACAGTGTCGAATTACCTTGTTAGTTCCCACCTTGCCTCTTTTTATGAATTAGATATGTATGCTTAAGTGCTACCAGAGCTCTGGCCTCTGGGGATTTAGTTACAATAAGTTGATACGGAGTACCAGGCACTGGGCCATGCTCCCTTCCTTCAGTGACACATCAATGCCAATAGACTCATCTTCTCCTGGGTGGTGGCTGAGCAACCTTCCACCCTTTGTGCCACACTTGATTTGAGCATTTCCCTTACTCCTGGACACCTAGGTTATGTCCAATGGTTTTCAAGGACAAACAAGATTGCCACAAATGTCTTGAATGTCCCTCCTTGCCCATCCATCTAACGACCACCTTAGAGTTGTTGTTAAGTGCCATCCAGTTGGTTTTGATTCATAGCAACCCTGTATAGGGTATCCGAGGAGCAGCTGGTGAGCTTGAAAGGCCAACCTTGCAGTTCAAATCAACCTTGCAGTCCAGTGCATTAACCCATAGTGCCACACCAAGAGACCTTAGATGTGAAATTGCTGGGTGGAATTTGTACTCTCTCATCATGGCAGCAAAAGGCATTCACACCCCTATTTGGTTCTCTAACTAACTCCATCATCATAACTTCAATCAGTTATGAAGCACGGAGTCCCTGCCTGATGCTGTGCAGGGGCTGGGATTGCTCTTGTGGCATTTACAGTGCAGTTAGGAGGGAGTCACATACATGCTCAGGTGAGAGGCCACTGTTCAGAGAGTTAAAGCAGGGTGAAGTGAAAGCATGCTGAGGGTTGCTTTCCCTTGGCTGGTCAGGGATGGCTTCTCTGGGGAGGGGTGGGGAGGAGGGCATTTGAACAGTGGACTGAGTGGTCACAGGATCCAGTCTTCCAAAGTTTGGGGAAGAACATGGGGAATGCCAGAGCTACCAGGGTGCTGCTGTGAGTTTGGTGAGAAGGAGGGTCAGACGATGGCCCGTGTGCCTGGGGCAGGTGGATGGAAGGGAGAAGGGTCCAGAGAGGAGAGAAAGGTTGAAGAGGTCCAAAGACATGTGGGAGGCGATGCAGCCTAAAGCAGGGAAGTGGTCTGAGCGATGGATTCCCCTGGTGGCTGTGTGGAGGACAGGGATTGAGGAGGGGCCACATGGATATCCGGAGGTCAGCGGTGGGGTCTGGTGCAGTCTTTGAGGCCAGAACCAGGGTGTTGATGTCAGATATGGATTCAGGATACGTGGGGAGCTCTTGAGTGCAGCTAAGTAATTCAATGTGGGGGAAGGGAACTATATCCCCAGCTAGTCTCCGAGGTTTTTGACGTGAGCAATAGATTGGATTGGTGACCTTTAACGGACATGGGGGAGACAGAGAAGGTCAGAGTTTGAAGATGGGGCTTAAGAACTCTGTTATGGTTATGTTAGATTTGAGAAATTCAGACGGACCATTAGTGATGTTAGGAGGCTGCTGTTGGCTGTAGGAGCTGAGCTCAGTGGAGTGAGCCATGAAGGCAGTGGGCTGAGATTTGGGAGCCACAAATCCTGAGAGTCAGGGTATCAGTGTCACAACACAGCCCTGCACTGCAGAAGCCAGAGTTCCCTGTTCCAGGCGTGACCTGTCTTTCCGTGTAAAGAAAGGGAGTTAAGCTGATGGCAGCTGGCCCCAAGTCTGACTGCTTGAAGCGATAAGGGGAGGACTACTGGACAGTGGTATGGGGAAGAGACAGCAGGTACCTGAAGGTCAGTTTGTTTATTACCTTTCCTGCTGGAGACTGGGCCTGAGGACCTGCCATCAGTCTGGCCTATTTGCCCAGCCATGTCCTGGGTTAGGCTTAGGTGCGGAGTCAAACACAGGAATCTAACAGTTAATAGAGTATGAAGGCTGAGGAGGGAGCCTGGAGCAGTGATCTGCCTAGCAGAATCAGGAAATCTTTGCCAAGAAAGGGCCTTCTGAGCTGGCTGGTGAGGGATGATGAGGAGTCAGTGAGCTAGGCAGACAGGAGACCAGCACTGTCACGTGCAACAAAGCCTGAGACTCACAATAGCTGGGCTGTAGAACTTGCAAGTGATTTTCCTGAGAATTGCCTAGCTGAGGTTCAGGTTTTCTCACCGAATCCTGCTACCTGAGGCCAAATGGAGTCTACAGGTCCCCCCAAGCAGTGTGATGTTCTACTTCTCTTGGGACTCTGAGTTGGGTGAAGGCAGAGCCTGGCTGGGTTTCTTCGGGGAGGCCAGGGTGTGGTGTCATTCTGCCTGCCTATGAGGCCTTATTTTGCCAGTTTGGTGACACTGGGCAAACGTTGAATTTCTCACTGCCTCAGTCTCTGCATCTGTAATCCCAGGGCAAGGATAGTTCTTGCAGAACTCTTAGGAGAAGTGAGTTAGCAATATGCATGGAGCTTAGAACAAGGCCAGGCCCAGAGAAAGCGCCCACATAAATCTACAGTCTGGAGCCCCTAGTGGGGACAGTGGAGAGAACACCTGGGTTCGATTCCATCAATGCACCTTGTGCACAACCACGGCCTGTCTGCCATTGGAGGCTCGTGTGCTGCTATGCTGCTGCCCAGGCCCCAGTGGAGCTTCTAGATCAAGACAGACTGATGTGTGGCACTGTGGAATCAGC